GTACAGTGTGCAGCGGGGAAAGCTGGTCATCCGGTGGGTGTTCCTTGGGACTGTTCATGTTTCCCTGAATTCTGCCTTCTGTTTCCAGAAATGTCTAGAGAGCAAGAGTCTGTTAATCCCAAATAGGCACCTGCTAAGGTGGGGTGTGGCAATGGCTGAGGCAAGGTGTGGTGTTGGGCATAGGCCCGGGTATTGGTTGCTTAAATCAAAGAAGGGGACTGGTAAAAAGTGATCTTTTTAAAAAAAGTTTTTGTTATGCTGCCCACTGCAGGAGAGGTTGTAGTGAAATTGATGAAGTTACGTGATGCTTTTGTAACTTAGGATAGCTTTTTACAAAGAAAATATAGCACAAGCTGTATGATGTTTGGACCCTTGGACCTAGTAATTCACCTGAAGAACCTGTGCTGGGAGAATGACCCCCCCCAATAAAAATACACCTACAGAATGGTGTGTTGGCACCGTTTTATAAATTTAGGGAGTATGGGAATAACCTAAAGGTCCGATGGACTGAAATGGTACATTTCACTGCAGAGCAACATGGGAAATTGGTTGTGATTCACTACTTTATATATATATATATATATATAACAAAATGTATGTACCGTGATTATGACCTCCAAAAATCAGTCGTGTGTATAGACGACAGTCTTGGAAAACATGAATTTGGTTTGTTTATTGGGGCGCTGGGCATTGGGGTGCAGGTTCTTCAGGTCAGGGGCTTTTGAACTTGAGCCCTCGGATCTTTTCTAGAACTCCATTCAAGCCTGAGCTCAGCTGCTCTGGCTGCAGTGAGCTGAGGGGGCGACGGTGGTTACTGGTGCCCCCCTCTCTCCCTTGTCTCCCACCACGAGCTCTGAGCAGCCACTGGAACCGCCACCTGGCAGCTTTGTGGTCCTTGCTCCCAGGAAAGCAGCTTCCTGGCGCGTTCTCTCTGCATCTGCTGTCACGCTCTTGACCTGGGGCTGAAGTCTGTTCCTGCCGTCCCCTCCCCTCCTCAGACAAGTGACAAGGACCAGCTTGGTGACAGTCCATCTGCTTGTTTTCCTGTGTTAAAGGGCCTGCGAAGGGAGATGTGGACACTCCCTTTGAAGAGGTCCTGGAGAAGGCCAAGGCTGGGGACCCCAAGGCACAGACAGAGGTGAGCACTGCTGTCCGCAGGAGACTCAGGCCGCGGCCTGCAGCATGGTGGGTCTGGGAGAAGCTGCTGCCTGCAAGCTGGGAGCTGGGAGCCGGCCTGACTGTGCCCGCCGTGTGCCGGGCCCCCGTTTGTTGCGTTTCCATGTTCATGGTGTGTTTGTTTCTTCCCTCCGCCCTCTGGGGAGCACGTACGTGTTCACCTCCTCTGTCCAGCTCCCACCTGATCCTGGGCATCACCTCCTCTGATACCATCTCTGCTTCCTGCCTGTTCTCATGCCCCCACCCCCTCTCTCATCGCATCAATGGGAGAGGGATCCTGACATCCACCTGTGGCAGGGAGCAACGGGCGGAGAGGGAGAGGGAGGCCGAGGTTGCCCAGCTGCGGGGAGCAGCTCAGGGCAGGACGTGGGAGCCCGGGCGCTGTGCATGGAGGCCGCTGCAGCATGTGGCGTGACGGGGTCCTGCTTGCAGGTGGGGAAACGCTACCTGCAGCTTGCCGGTGACGGGGATGAAGAGGTCAACAACTGCACTGCCGTCGACTGGCTGACCCTTGCCGCCAAGCAGGGCCGGCGCGAGGCCGTCAAGCTTCTCCGCCGGTGCCTGGCGGACAGAAAAGGTGGGTCAAGAGGCCTGGGGGGATGCATGAGGTATGCCTTGCTGCTTTGCTAAATTAACAACTAAAATAGCAGCAGGAAAACTTGCTGCTGGCAGTGCCGTTGAGCAATGAGTGTGGTTTCTGTTATGCCAGTGGCTTTGCCATTTAGACGTTTTTAGAGTATAACATGTGATATTTAGGGAGTGAAGCCATTTTCATCCTCTTTAACTTGTGGTGGTGTCTACAAGGAGATACCCTCTGGATTCTAATCCAAATTGAGGAGTAGATCCTGGAGCCAAGTTGGAGAACATGACAGGGGCCTGAGGTCAGAGTGGCACTTTCTGAACTGACTTTCCATCCAGTCTGAGCCGAGAAGCTGGGGACCATGGGCCAGTGAAGACCGCTCAGGCTGGCACTCACCACCAGGACGGGTCTGGGTGTTGGGAGGGTCAGTGATGTGTAGCCTGGCCACGTGTGGACACTTACTAGGTTATCCTGCCCAAGGGAAATGGCTCGTTCCTGGTGTCAGGGAAGAGTGTTTCCTGAAGGTTCAAACCTCAGAAGAAAGATGAAAGTGGGTGTCAGAAAGGGGCCTTTTTTCCCTCATATTGTAGAAGTGTTTGTTGTTATCAAAGAAAACTTGAACTATATAGAAAACATAAAGATAGAAATTACCCATCACATTGAAACCCAGAGAGAAGTGCTCTGTAGTTTGGTATTTTTTTTCTTCTGGTTTTGCATTGTAATGTTTTAAAGTAACATTTATTATATAGAATCTACTCTCTCTGGACCTTAGGCTGATGCCTTTGACAACTTGGAATGGTCATATTTTGCTAGCCAAAATTTCTCACCAAGCCAGCTTCCCCGTTCCAGGGCAGGCAGGACAGCCTTGCACTGGCGGATCGAGTCGGTGCGGCCCGCACAGCTCACTGTTGGAGCCAGTGGTTCCCAGACGCCTTGAGGGAGCCAAGGCAGGCCCAAGGACCAGAGGGTGTGTGAGGGAGGGGGCCAGGCCTCGTGCGACCCACAGCCTCCACGTTCTCAAAGTTGAGTGCTTACCGATCATAAACGTGGGCTCTGGTTGAAAGTTTCGGAGACGTTTCAAAGGAGAAAAAGCCCAGTCATCCATCCCTAGTCTCGCCGCCCTCTGGAAGGGCCTTGCTGACATCCAGGTGGCTGGGGAGCAGGGGGAAAGGCAGCTGCTGACCAGCCCATGAAACCTGCTCCCGGTCTCTCCATGGGTGAGTTTTGCCTACCTGGGAAAGGGCCGTCTGTGCAGGGACACAGTTGCTCCTGGCGCCCTAGGAGGGGCGGGTGCTGTGGATGCAGGGATGCCCCGCTCTTGCACCCAGGCCGCTCACTGCAGTGAGACTGACCAGGGTCTGAGACCGGCTCTGCCTCCCTGACTCGGTGGCCTTGGCAATCCAGGCTGCCCCTGTGTGCCTTGGTTTCTCCATCTGTAAGGCGGGGACAGCAGCATCCCACCAGAGGGTCCTTGTGAGGGTGAAATGGGGAGGGGGGAGCAAGCCAGGAAGATGGGGAGTCCATGCCCAGCACCAGGCCACCATGGCCACTTGGTGAGTGTCTGCTGAAAGGCCAGGCCAAGCCGCCCACCGGCCGGGACTTTGGCCAGATGCCCTTTTGGTCAGATGTTCGTTTCAGCCCTGGTGACAAAGGTGCCTGCAAAGCCGCTTGCAGGAATCTCTTCCCAACCCCCTCAAGCGGGGTGGCCAGGGCCAGGGCATCGCTGACAGCTTCTGGGAAGGTGAGGTGAGGGCTCTGATGCCTCCCCTCTTTCAGGCATCACCTCCGAGAACGAGCAGGAGGTGAGGCACCTTTCCTCCGAGACCGACCTGGAGCGGGCCGTGCGCAAGGCGGCCCTCGTCATGTACTGGAAGCTCAACCCCAAGAAGAAGAAGCAGGTGGCCGTGTCGGAGCTGCTGGAGAACGTGGGCCAGGTCAACGAGCACGGTACGCGGCCTTGCCGTGCGGCCTCCTGGGCCTTTGTGTTGGAGTCCTGGGCGCTTCCCCATGGGAGCCGAAGCGGGGGCTCCAGGGACCTTCTTGTGGGGACCTCACAGGTGTCCTGTAAAGCTGGGGAGCGTCCTTCCTGGGCATCCTCCTGTTACCGGGGTCCCCACCCTGAGCCGTGCCCTGAGCCCTGGCTCAGTCCGAGGTCTGGGTGCCCAGCAGGCCCTTCCCCTGGTTCTACCTTGATTTGCTCTGCGCCTTGGGGATTCCTCCCCTCCTGCCCACAGGCAGAGCCACAGGCCTTGTCGTTCCAACGGTGTCCTGCTCTTCCTGAGGGACAGGGAGTACGGGGAGGGTGAGAGGTGCGGGCAGGGACCTAGGTCCCCGAACCCCCAAGAGTCTTTCCAGGGAGGACCTCATCGCCAGCCTCTGCAGTCCTCCCCACCTCCTTCTAACTCGGCTTCCCGCAAAGGGCACGGGCAGCAGCCAGGACGGGTGGGGCAGGAGAATGGGCGTCCCTGACTGAGTGTGGCCTCTCCATTTCCCTGGGTTGGTGGCGCGGGGGACACCTGACTCTTGTGACTTCATTACCTCGAGGAGCCCCTGCCTCCCGCTGTTCAGAAAATGACTCTCTACCCAGGGCTTCGCCCAGCCTTCTCCGGCCCCAAGGGGTAGATGCTGGGGGCTGGAGCTACCTGCCAACCCGTCAGAGAGGACTGCTGGGTGGGCACCTCTGCCCCTTCTCCAGGGATCTCAGGGCAGGACTCCTGTCTGACCTGCCCCTCTGGGACGAGCAGAGGTGGCCGGGTGGCAGCACCCCCAAGAGGCATGCTTGACTGGACAGGCTCGGCTGCCCCGTGTGGAGCCCGGAGACCCTGTGAGGCCTCAGCGCCACCTGCATGTGCTGCCCCCGCCCCCACTGGCCACTTCCACTCGGGGCTCCCATGGCCTCTCTCAGTCACAGTGCCCCTCCTCTCCTGTTGTCACTGTCTGCGCTCTCGTCCAACTCCTGCCCGCCCCGCCCCTGCAGAGGTGCACCTCGGAGCCTGGCGCCGGAGAGCTGGGTGAATGCCTGCCAGGTTGGGGGTGTGGCGGTAGGGGCGGGTGCTTTCCCCTCCAGGGGAGCATCACGCCAAGTGACGACGCTAGCAGCGAAGGTGTATGGGGACAGGCTAGGCTGACCGGAGGGTGTGGTGTGTTCAGTGCCAAGGCTGCGCCCGTACAGGGGATGGGCTGTGCCCTGTGGGGCCTGAGACACCCTTGGGGGCGGAAGCTGAGAGGTGACAGTCCTGAGGGGTGGCCCTTGCACTGCCACCCAGGGCTGCGTGGAGGCACCAGGCCCTGCAGTCCCCGGGGCACACTGGCAGGTTCCTGGGGGGCTGCAGGGAATGGGGCAGTCAGCCTGCCCCGATTCTCAATCCGCTCTGTCCCCTGCAGACGGAGGGGTGCAGCCTGGCCCCGTCCCCAAGTCGCTGCAGAAGCAGAGGCGGGTGCTAGAGCGCTTGGTCAGCAGCGAATGTGAGTATGGCCGCCGGTCCTGCGCTTGCGACACCTCTTGCCGTGCTGTGTCTCCCACCACCCCGAGCGCCGTGTCTGCTCCCTCCTGCCAGTGCAGGGCTGGCCTCCAGGGTCTTGGAGGCGTGATGGATTTTCAGTCCCTTTGGGGCTGTTGATTGGGTGTCAGTGTTCTGGGCTCTGGGATCTGGACCCTGCCCACTGGGAGCATGCACTCTGGAGGGACAGGGAGGGCAGCATGACAGCCCCTGCAGGACAGAGAGCTGCCAGGGGCTGTGAGCACACCGGGTGCCTGAGCCAGCGAGGGTGAGGAGGCAGCTAGCCCTCGGAGGGCACCGGGGGGTGCTCCAGGCCAAGCAGACATCACAGGCAGAGGACTGGGGGCACCCAGCATGGGCTGTGGGGAGGTGGGGGATAGAGGGCAGAACATGGCGGGTGGAGGTAGGGAAGGTGTGCCAGGCACACAGTAGGCCCGGCACACAGTAGGTCCTCAGAGGATGCGCGTTGACTGGCGGGGTTAGGAGGGGGCTGAGCCGCAGGGCGTCAGTGCTGTGAGCAGCCAGGGCCAAGGGAGGGAAAGGGTCACAGGGGCCCTGGCGGTGACGGTGGCTGAGGAGTCAGTGTTGGAGCTGGGCTCAGGCAGCCCCTAGGCTTGCAGAGCCCCTAGGCCGCTTCGGGGGAGGGACAGCACATCACTAAGGTGAGGAGGCCATTGGCAGGCCTGTCTGCCTCTCTCCTCCCGTCGTCCGGGCCCAGGGAGGGGTTTGCCTGGCCCAGCCAGCGTGGCCCTCCTCGCCTGGCCACGCGGGGTGACAGTGCTTGCAGTCTCGCAGACCCCATGTGTTCTCTCCTGTGCTTTAGCCAAGAGCTACATAGCGCTGGACGACTTCGTGGAGATCACCAAAAAGTACGCCAAGGGCGTCATCCCTGCCGACCTGTTCCTGCAGGACGACGACGATGACGAGCTGGCAGGCAAGAGCCCCGAGGACCTGCCCCTGCGCCTGAAGGTGAGCGTGGCTGGAGGCACCCGTGGAGGGCTCTCGGCCCGGGCCGCGACCCCTGCGCCCCCCAGCGCTCCCCCGGGGAGCTGTAGGTGGGGGGCCTCGCCCAACACAGGGGCCTCAGGGACTGTGTAGCTTGTCCCTGCGGAGGCCCGTCCTGCAGGGACGTCACCGTAACTGCGTAAGGACGCGTCCTTGTGAAGGGAGGCCTTTCACCTGCACTCAGGCTCTGAAACCAAGGGCACTGTCGGGGCGGGCAGGTTCAGTGGGTGATGGACAAGCTGAGGCACCTTCTCATCTTTCCCTGCCAAATGCCATCGGGGGACAGGATGCTGTGCCCTGGAGGCCGCCTTTCACTTAGACTTTGTCATTTTGAAAAATTATCCGTTTATGGCACAGAGTGGAGGTCAGTTCCTCGAAGATGCCTTTTCCCTAAAGCAGAGTGCTGTGTTCAGGCGGCCAGGAGGCCCCTGCAGTGGTGCCTGTTTATCTGGATCCGCAGGGGCTCGGGGAGCAAGCCGGGTGTGGTGTGGAGAGAGTCCGACCTGAAGGGGGGAGCGTGGGCTTACACTGTTGGCCAGTGAGCAGCAGTGGCATCAGGGAGCGAGGGAGGCTTAGCGTGCCGACAGCCAGGAGTGGCCGCTCGTGTGCCCCTGGTGTCACAGCTTTTGTTTTCCTGGTCACGTGGTTGTGACTAAGGGTGCAGATGTACAGTGTGGCCACACTGCCCTTCACCAGATTCCCCCCAGTTCAGCCCACGGGCTTGAATTAGTTGTGTCTGTATCTCACTTTGCCGAGAACACCGAGATTTACAGAAGTCTGGCTATCTGGCCCCAGACAGGTCCATCACCACAACTGGCCAGGAGGGCCCCGGCCAGCACAAGGGCCTCTGAGCAGACGAAGCATCACAGAGGTCCTGGCGTTAGTCACGCCAAGAATCCGTCGGGTTCTGTGCATCCCCAGCTGCCTGGGAACGTGTGTGAGCTGCCGTCAGCGTGGGAGAGTGGGCTGTGTGTGTGCAAGCGGGGTCGGGGCTGGTGACAGGAAGTGTGCTGACGTGTCACCCTCCCAGACGCAGCGCGGTGTAAGCACCGTGCTGGGGCCTGGAGATGGAGGCTCAGAAAGCTGCCCTCGGTGGGTGGGGAGGCTGACTTGGAAGCAAGTTCCACAGAGATGCTGCAGCCCAGAGAGGTGGGTGTGAAGGCCACGCTCAGGACCAGCGAGCTGAGTGAGAGTCCCTGAGGGCAGGTAGGGTGTCCAGGGTGAAGGTTCTGAGACACGGGGTTGGGATGGCCCAGGAAGCCAACCAGGGAGGCCATGGCTTTTATTGAAGGTCCACTCGGAAGCAGGCCTGGGCTAAGTGTGTTCACAAATGACATTAGTTTTCTTATTAAAGTGAGCGAGGGAAGGTGGAGCATTTGCTGTGGTTCTTTGCAAAGAGGAGGTGCTCCCCAAATGCCAGTGAGGATCAAAGGTGAAAGGGTAGTGGGAGAAGACCCATGGGCCAGGTGGTCCTGGCCTGGACATCGTAGTTTGCATTGTTCTGGCATAATTACTAATAATGCCTGCTTTCAAAAGCATCCTGGTTTGGACAGCAAGTTATGTTACCCTCCTTACTGGTAACAAGCTCAGTGCTGTAAGATATCTGAAAGTCCTTTTTGGGAAAAAGAGATTTGAAGTATTCCGAAAAGAAATAAGGCTCTTTTTTTTTTTTTTTCTTTCAGTTTTTGACGTTGTCAGAGCACTTTGATTCTTTTACAGTTTGTCTCATTAAAAGCCTTTGGAAAAAGAGAGAATGAATCATAGCAGGCGTCTCCTGGAACTAAAAGCTGTTCCAGCCTTTATTAGCCTCCTGGAGGACAGAGAAGGGACGTGTGCCTGGGGAGTCCTCAGCACCCCAGTGGGAAGTGCCAGATGCCTCTCTGTGAGCTGACGTGACCACCAGGGATGTTCCAGGCTCCGAGCTGCCTCTTCTCAAGCCTTTGGTGACAGATGAAACCTTCGTAAAGATGAATTCAGGAATATTTTAAAGGCATAATGTTTTTGTATTAAATTATTGAGAATCCAGCACATGAACATTCACTCAGGTCCGAGCAGAGTCTAGTTGACCTGCTGAGTGAGCGGTGGGTTCCTTGGTCGGCTTCCCCCATTGTGAAAGGCTGTTTGCTCGGTTTCTCACATTAGCCGAGCGACTGGTGACCACAGCCCTGGCCAGGTTGCCCTTTCCTGTCCTTTCGTGAACTGACTCCCTACTCTTTTTTTTTTTTTGGCTGTGCTGCGCGACATGCAGGTTCTTAGTTCCCCGACCAGGGATCGAACGTGTGCCCCTAATAGCGGAAGCGCAGAGTCCTAACCACTGGACCACCGGGGAAGTCCTACTTATTTTTTAAAATTTCTCTCCTGCTCAAAGAAAAGTTCATTTTAATTTGTTTGGGCTTTCTCTACAGAAAAGGTTTCTAGTCTCACAATTTGGTGGGGCCCCAAGAAGTAGGGCTTGGGTAGAAGCTACAAGGGACAGAATTGGGACCTTAAAAGGAGAGAACTCCTGGTCATGGTGGCCCAGGTGCCTCACTGTGCGGGCAGAGGCTGACACCATTGGACATCAGGTTCTAGAAGCTTTGTGTCTTTTAAAGGTCCTCTCAACCATGTGATTGTGTGGCCTCATGGGCAAAAAAAAAAAAAAAAAGGGGGAATGGTTTTGAGCATTAGGACAGGATTTCAGATTAGTTTTAAGGTCCCAGCTACTTGGGTACCTACAGGCTAGCTCCCCCAAAACTGTCCAGTGCTGGTTGTGCAGCGAGAGAACGGCTGTGGGAACAGCTGCCCTGGAGTGCCTCTCATCTGTCTGGTTAGAAAGGCCTCGTCCACAGGGATTAGCCGAGAGGCCGCCGCTGACGCACTCACGGGCTCTTTCCATCGCTGTTGCGTGCTGTTGCGTTTCAGCTGGTGTGTGTGGCTTTGGGTCGAAGGGGCCCCTCCCAGAGGAAGCCGGAGCAGGTTATTTTTGGAGACACTGGTTTGCTGTCTGGCAAGTGTCAGAAATCCACACCAAGGCTAACCTTACGGCGTCCGACATCCCCTAGTGCCACCTCCAGATGGGGTGAGCGCTGTGTCTGCTTCTGGGAAGCTGGCCTCAGTGAGCTGGGGGAGCCCTTAGTTGGTTTACTGGTTTGTTCATCTTCTTGCCCATTCTAAAACAGAGAGTAAGTGGACCGTCACAAACACGTCAGGAGGAATGCAGCTCTGCGTGCATGCGCGCGTGTGTCTGTAGACATGCATGCACGCACACAGAGTCTTACACACTCCTGTTTCCGCTGTGAGCCCGGGTCACTCTCATCTGGAGGACTCACTCTCCTGGCTGCTCCCGGGCGTCCTGGGCATCCTGAGTTGCCTGCCAGCCGCGGCTCTTGGGCAGATGATGGCCACACCCCAGTATTGTCACTCAGTTGTACACACCCAGGATCCCTGCCCCTCCTTGGCCCTCTGGTGGGTGGGGCAGAGCGAGTCTGTCCCCCAGCGTGTGGGTGGAGGCTGTGCTGCCCACCTCACCTGGGCACTGACAGGGCTTCTGTCATGTAGCCCCTCGGATGGGCTCTGGGCACAGCTGGGCTTTGCTGCCCCCAGGCGTGGGTGACCTCTGCGAGGACCGAGCCCCTGGTGCGGTCCTCCTTGAGGAGGACCGAGTGAGCACCGGCACTGCCCACAGGTACTTTCTTTATTCACCCACTTCGGCTTCCCTCCCGTCTCCCCGGAGCCGTGGTGGGGCTGGAAGCCTCCAGGATTCTGTACAGAGAACCAGGCAGGTATGGGGGCCACCCTGGGTGGCAGAATCGCCCTCGCTTCCCTCACAGCCCCTCATTCGTCTTCTGTTGCGGAAAAGGCCGAGGGTTTCTGCTGCTCTTTGCAGTGAGCACAGCCCGGGGGAGTGGGACCCAAGGCAGGGAGCGGTGCTGCCCTTGAACGTGGCTGTGAGGGTTGTGCGTCTGTTCTGAGCAGTCCTGAGCAGTCGGTGTGCAGGGGTGGGGGGTGCAGGCGGCTGGCGTCAGGCCTCCTGTTGCAGTGAAGACATCGCATCCGCCCCGTCGCAGCTGAACCCTTTCCATTCACATGGCTGCCGAACTCTCCTTCCCGGAGTCCCCGCTCCGCTCCTGGGCCAGTCAGAGCCCAGCATAGGCTGGTAAAGCAGCGGTTCCTCTCCCCCTTGGTGGATGGGTGAGCCGCTGAGGCTCGGTGAAGTCCCCTCCACAGGGGTGGCTGAGACGCAAGCAGCCCAGTGCTCTGTCACCTTTGCAAGTGTGAGGCCCGTGGGGAGGGAAGAGGGGGCCAGGTGGGCTCTGCCAGGCGCCCCAGGTCTCGCAGCGAAGACCAGCCCTCATAAGTCTGGAGACCCTGGTGGAGGGTTGGGAGTCA